TTTTTCAATCCTTGAAGTAAACTGAATAAAATCACATTAAACTGTACATAATTTTTTTTTATTCTGCGAGTATATTTACCAATGTTTTTGTGCTTATCTAAGCGCTTAAAACGGATTTGTTTCTTGCTTATTTTCTTCAGCCCTGGTTATTACTAACAAATTGATTTTGTTAGTAATAACCAGGGCTGAAGAAAATAAGCAAGAAACAAATCCGTTTTAAGCGCTTAGATAAGCACAAAAACATTGGTAAATATACTCGCAGAATAAAAAAAAATTATGTACAGTTTAATGTGATTTTATTCAGTTTACTTCAAGGATTGAAAAATTACAATGGACACACTAGTGTTGCTCGATATTCTCAAATAATGGAGATCTGCGTTGGTTGGTCTTAATTTTTTTAAATATTCGTTATTCGGTATTCAATGCTGCCCGTAGAGACAAACCATTGGTATTAAATTTTTACATCCAAGCAGAAACGAAATTAGAGTTGCGGGTTAATAAAAACTAGATCTCTTTTTATATGTTATTATTTTCCTTGATACAAATATATCAAGGTAAAACCGCTCGCTCAATTCGTCAACCATCATTAATTTTTTGAAGTTTGTCCACTTTATAAGATTGAAATTTTGAGAGCAACTGAAGTGAGAATGTGTTTGTGAGATTGAAAATTTGAAAACATTTTTGTTATGTTAGCAAACTTAAAAAATGTTCAGGCTGTCTCGCAGCGGTTTCTTCAAATTTTTATATCATGATTATTTTCGAACATTTATTTAGTTCGACGAATAAAAAAAGCAAAAGAAATGGTCAAGAAAAATTTATAGCGCTAAATTATCTTAAGCAGTACGAAGTTATTAAGAAATTCGCTACGCTTTGTACTATGGTTTGCTAAAGTTTGTTTGTGAAGAGTACCAGGCACCCTTGTTTTCAACAGAAATATATGCCCGTTCCATTATTTCGTAAGGAAAATGTAAGACAGCAGGCTGTAAGCTTAAACTTTTTGGACCTGGTAATAACTTCCCTGAACACTTATTGTTAGGCTTTAGCGTTCTGTTAAAGATTATGAGTTGATTACGCTTTAGCTTTTATACTTCTTGCCTGCCCCAAATCAGCAACGGATAAACTTTCCAATGATGGCATATCCTCTAAAAACATCCATAGTAAGAAAAACATCGATGTTTTCAAAAAAATATTTAAACATCGATACTATCGATAGTGCTCCGATGTTTTTGCAGCTCTAATACGTTCTGCGTTCTTGACTGATTTCAGCTTTTCTGCGAAACATCTGATTAATTTTTCACGCCTGAAAGTTTTCCAAGTTGTCGGCGTGGGTGTAAGGAGCTCATGTATGGGTTCAGTAATTTCTGCTTTACTTAAGAAACCGATAGTAAACGTCAATATGAGTAATTCTCAGGCAGATATGGTGCGCGAAGTAATTGCAAATAATAAGGTAGTCATTTTTTCTAAAAGCTACTGCCCTTTCTGCACCATGGCCAAGGAGGTTGGAGTTAACACCTTTTCGAACGTGGATTTACTTATTTATGTATGTTCTTGATTTTCTTTTAAGCAATTTCGCAAACTTGCTGTTCCTGCATATGTTGTTGAACTTGATAGTCGCACTGATGCTGAAGAAATCCAAAACATCCTCGGTGAGATAACAGGCGGTAGAACGGTAAGTAATAGGGATTTGCCGGGTAGACTTTAGTATTCAGGCGCACCTTTTGTTTTAAGAAAACCAGGTGGAATTGACAAATGAAACTTGGTCAGGACGTTAATCCTATTTAATCCTGTTTTAAGCTAGTTTAAATAACATCAAGTTAGGGAACTTCATATCCTTATTTAACGAATCTTTAAATCAATAAATAATTTTTTTTCTTTTAGTTCTTGTAATAAAAGCGTGTTGTTGTTTTTTTTTTTAACTATAATTTTATTACTCAGTATTATTTCTTACACACTTCCTTTTTCTTGTTTTAATAAAAGGAATGGGAAGTGTTTAGCTATTTGTGCAACGATTTAGGGGTGGGGACGGAGGGGCAGGTGGTGTGGGCCCCACAAATCCCCCCTAAACGAAAGAGGAGTGACGCTTTATGAAGTCACCCCTCCCCCCCCAACTCCTCCCACAGACCTCTGGGGAGCTGTTTGAAAATAGGGGAATTTTAGCGTTTTTGCAAGAAAAAAAAACAAAGTTAAACTTGCGTCCGAAGAAGGGGGGCTGGACATCTTTTGCAGAGAACACCTTTCTGCGTAGGCGGCCTACCGCCCCCGTGATGTAACCTTGGGAAGGGAAGGAAGGGTAACTAGAATTCCCTTTCTGTGTGGTAAACCTGGGGCTGCCGCCACAGTGATGTCTATTTTGGTGTTTTATAAAAATATCTTGTATATAAAAATGTATATACAAATTTATAACAAAAATTTGCAACAAATACCATATTTCCAACCGACATTATTGTTAAATTTTTTGCACTGATTTAGTAAATAAAATTTTTGTAATAAAGCGTGAACTGTTGTCTACAAGTGTGTGTAAAAGTTTTTTGATTCGATTCACGCGTTTGGGCACAGCAACCCAAAATCGTTGTACAAATTCATAAACAGTACCCAAAGGAATAACATTGAAGCTATGATTGGAGGTCTAATATTCTTTTGCAATTAGTGTTGTTCATGTTGATGTTGTCGATGTTTCGGTTTCATTGCAAAGGAATATCCTCCAACGATAGCTGCAAGGTTAGTCCTTTTATTAAAACAAGAAAAAGGAAAGATGTAAAAAAAATATACCTAATGAGTAATAAAATTGTAGTTAAAAAACCAACAACATGCTTTTATTACAAGAAGAACTAAAAAAAAAAAATTATTTATTGATTTAGAGATTCGTTAAATAAGGATATGAAGTTCCCTAACTTGATGTTATTTAACCTTTTAAACTAGCTTAAAATAGGATTAAAGTAATTGGCACGTAGTCATGGTCGAAATATAGTCCACTAAAAAGTTAGTTGCAGTTATTTTTTACAGGCATCCCGTTGGTAGAGGGCTTCGGGTGTACGAATTTTTTGTAACATCAGGAGTTGAAGACTTGGTCCAGTGCTAGTCTCCTAAAATTGCCTCTAATCACGTCGTAAGCAGATTTCCCATATGAACTTGCAACAAAGGTCAATTCTGCCATTTCCTTGAAGGGATTTTCATGATTTCAGGCCTTTAATAAAGTTAATATGATTTATTCATATTGTTTTTGCTTTTTACACACCTTTCCTCTTTCAAAAATATACAATTTCATAAAACTTCAATGTCTATTTATCATATTGCTTGAGCGTTAGACGATCTAGAGTCCAAACGCATAAGTAGCCCATTACGCCCATTTGGGTACTTAAAGTTGACATTATAGACAATGATTTTATGTAAAAATAAAAATAAAAAAAATGCTATAATCAAAAAAAATAAATAAAAAGAAAAATGGGCGCTTTTATAAGACGTAGCTGTTGCCCAACCGTTGGCTATTTGTCTTAGAAACGCACAGTTGAGTAGTTCCGTTCAGCTCAACAGTTGGCAACTTTCCGCCATTTTTCCAGCGGAAAATGTTTACGCTACCTGAACTCAACGTGTTGGGCTTAGCCTAAACAGCTGATCGAAAATACTTACGCCGCTTATATTGAATTTAACGACGCTTCGTTATTATATTTTATATTACTAATGTGATAAAATAACTAGAATATTTTATAATAATACTACGTTTCAAAATATATGTTTTTAAGATGTTTGCTATATAATTTTACACTGTTTAATTCATTGTAACATTGAACGATTTTTTCAACACGGCGGCAGCTCAGCGTTGAATTCTAAATACTATCGGCGCAACTATCTCTATTTGTTGCAATTTCATTTGTTTACATTTATCAGCTGTTCATTTGGCAGCATATTCATCAAGCCGTTTCTAAGACGTAATTGTTGGATTAAACAGTTGCCATCAGTTTCGTAGCAGATGAGCTAAACAGCTCATCAGTCTTATGAACGCGCCCAATGTTTGCTTCATTTATTTTTATTTTTTATACGTTGCACATTAATGTAAAAAATGTACAATTAAAGCCCGTAATAAGACGGAAGAAATACATTTTTTTTCATTAAGTTGCGTTAAAAGGTTTCAAAGATACAGCACTTTAAAGAAAGGTATCTATGACGTTTTCTTAAAATTTAAGCCCCGTGTAAAATATGCCGCACGTATATTCTTGTCACCTAGACCTTCAATCTCTTCAACTTTCATCCAAATCCTTAGAGGTCGCGCACAGAGGTGGCCGTGGCGACATGAAATGCCTCATATCGATGGCTGAGCTGAAGATCGACCTATCTCGGCAGCCGATTCGAAAACGCTCTATTTCAGAAAACTTTTCAAGAACGCCCTACTTCAGAATTTTATTGAAAAACATTCTATCTCAGAATTTTGTTGAAGAACGCCCTATCTCAGAATTCGGTTCAAAAACGCCCTATCCCAAACGATAATACATTGAAAATAAGCTGTGATAGGGTTTTTTCGAACTGGCTGCCGAGATAGGTCGATCTTCCACTTAGCCATCGATATAGTAACAGGGATGGGCGTTTTTGAATGAATTATTATTCAAACAAAAAATAAATTTTTATTAATCATTGCAGTAATTTCAAACAGGGACGGTAATCATTATGAGTTAAATAATTTAAATCAGCATTTAATCATTATTTTATGAGTTTTATTTTTTTCGCTCTAAAATAATAATTATTGATTTTTATTTCTTTTGCTCAGCGGAAATAATTATAATTTGATTTTTATTTTTTCGATCACAAATAATGATTATTTTATGATTTTTATTTTTTCGCTAACAGATAATAATTATTATTGAGTTTTATTTTTCCCCTTAAAAATAATGATTATTCATAAAATTGAAAAGGCTATACAGACGCAACTTACTGAAATTTTGACCTGAAAATTTTGAGGCTTATTCCTTTATTAAAGTGTCGCTCCCTCTGAAATCGCACTGGTATAGCTTTTGATTTTTTTGAATGATCATTATTCTTAAGTGAAAAAAATAAAACTCAATAATAACTATTATCTTTGAGCGAAATAATAAAAATCATAAAATAATCATTATTTTTGATCGAAAAAATAAAAATCAAGTAATAATAATTACTTTTGAGCGAAATATTAAAACTCCAATGTTAATAATTATTTTTAATCTTTATTGGTTAAACTCGAAAAATAAAAATCATTGTTCATTACAGTGGGACGTACGAAAACAAATACGTGGGTATAAATAAAGTTGTTTTACGACGATTACAATTTGTTGATTTCTTTGATTAAAATTTAAAAAATAATGATTATTTTCCGTCCCTGATTTCAAATGACGAATAAATTTTTATTCCTCATTCAAGCACTTGCGAATGATGAATAAATTTTTATTCATCACTCAAATAACTTCAAATAACGAATAAATTTTTATTCATCTTTCAAGCACTTGCGAATGAATGTTGAATAAATTTTCATTCATGATTCAAGTAATACTGAATAACGCATAATTTTTCATTTATTATATGTATATAAGCATGAACATAAGTGTGTATGTACTTATTTAATTATCTGTATATGTGGTTTTTAAAAAGGGTTGCCACCTGTTTTAAATGTATGGGTGTCAAAAGATAGAGGTCTAAGAACGTTTCAGTTTAAAAATATTTTCAAGAGTGTTGCCTTGTAATTGAAGTGGAATTTAATTCAACTATACACGAGGTGTATGAAATAACAATTGGGGTGTTCACAGTTCGTTCCAAATAGTGTCTCAAAATGTAGACGTCTACATTTTAAGACGTTTTCTAACCGTAAAATCTGTGGTGTTGTTGTTTCCCATACAAAATTGGAAAACGACGCCGTCTATATTATGTAACACTCAAAGGTATGTTTTTTACGCGTCTACATTTTGCAACCTCGCAGCAGGGTTGCATTATGGCAATACTAATCACATTTTTTTTTTATTTATTGGGCACGTTTTCTGTATTTGCATTTAATTTGAGCGCAATTTCTGACGAAAAGAAACAAATCAAGGAAAAGAAATAACAAATATTAGGAATTGGTAATTAAGTTATATAATTACAATTTTTCAGAAAGAAAATCGAAAGGCGACATATAAAAAATGCACGTCTACATTTTCAGACACAATTTGGAACGAACTGTGAACACCCCAAATATATGGGTGCTAAACTAAAGAGCGTTAAGAAATCTTTAGAATATTTTTGAGGCGTTTAAAGAGGATTGCCACCTGTTTGAAAGTATTCAAATTAATAACTTATATTTTAAATGTATTTTGATTTGTGATTTTTCAGCTAAATAATATTCTTTTAGGAAACGCAACTACATCAGGATTTTTGGGACTAATTCGGAATTTTTGGGACTATTTCGATGTTTTCGGCGTTCTCGGGTATATATCGGGATTTTTGGTACTAATTCCGTATTGTTGGGACTATTTCGGATTTTTTGAGACTTCCTCGAGATTTTCTCAAGGGGATTCTCGGGATTTTTGGACTATTTCGGGATATCCGAGGATTCTTCGGGATTTTCTGGACTATTTCGGGTTTTTCGACACAACTTCGGTATTTTCAGGGCTCAGGCTCATATCGGGATCTACGGGACTATTTCAGGATTTTTGGGACCAATTCGGATTTTTTGGTACTATTTCGGGTTTTTCGAGACTACTTCGAGCTTTTCGGGGTTCTCGGGGCTATTTCGGGATTTTTAGTACCAATTTGGAATTTTTGGGACTATTTCGGGTTTTTCGAAACTGCATACCTCGAGATTTTCATGATTTTTGGGACGTTTTCGGGATCTTCGGGACTACTTTGCGATATTTAGAACTATTTCGGGTTTTTCGACAATATTTCGAGATTTTCAGGAGTTTTGGGACCATTTCGGGATTGCTGCACCATTTCACGATTTCTTCGGGATTTTCAGGACTGTTCCGGGTTTTTCGAGAATATTTCAGAGACCATAACGATTATAAGAAATAAAATTAAATATTGCTCTATAATTATTACTGAACAATGGAAAAGTTGTTTTCGTCTCGCGGGACGATTATTTCAAGACCAATATTATTTACGTCTTCTTATAATGATTATATGGGCTTTTCATTTTTTTTCGTCTCGGGACGTTTATTTCAAGACGAATATTATTTACGTCTTGTTATAATAATTATATGGGCTTTTTATTTTTTTTCGTGTCTCGGGACGTTTATTTCAGGACGAATATTATTTATGTCTTCTTATAATAATTATATGGGCTTTTTATTTTTTTTCGTCTCTCGGGACGTTTATTTCAAGACGAATATGATTTACGTCTTCTCATAATAATTATATGGGCTTTTTATTTTTTTTCGTCTCGGGACGTTTATTTCAAGACGAACATTATTTACGTCTTATAATAATTATATGGGCTTTTTATTTTTTTTCGTCGCTCGGGACGTTTATTTCAAGACGAATATTATTTACGTCTTCTTATAATAATTATATGGGCTTTTTATTTTTTTTTGTCTCTCGGGACGTTTATTTCAAGACGAATATTATTTATATCACAATGGAATTGGTACACTTACAGCCGATTTCACGAAATTTTTTAATTGCAATTTAATTGACATTTAATTTAAATTTTAATTTTTATTAAATTTTGCATTTAAGTTTTACTCCTTTCACCAATACACACTTGGCCTAATTCAATTTGTGTGGCATAAATGAAGCTTCGAAGTTGAAATTTGGCGAAGTCAATCGCCATGGCATTTATAAGAAGATGACCAAATTTTGGACCATCGGGCCACGCCCACCTTGACCGCCCATACAACATTATTTGTAGCTTTAAAGATTTTCAATGAGAAGTGAGTAAATCTTATACGGCTTTATATAAAGTAAAGTTGCAAAAGTGGTGTAACCCATTGACTCAAAAACCTCTGGACCGATTTTGACGAAATTTTGACATAAGGCATATATATTTGGAGAAGGTTTAAATTATGTTAGTTTGCTATCCGGTAAATATTAAAACATTTATTCAATTTAGTTAAATTAATTACTTCAATATGGGTATCAATCGAAATGGTGTTGAAAAGGATTTATTTCTAAGCAACATGTGGGAGGGTTGCCATCTAACCCCGTTTAGGTCGGCGAAGTATCTCAGAAGTTGTCCGTCCATAGGGCTACCTTCACTACGTATTCTTCTACTCAGGGCTGGCATCGAGTCAAACCCAGGGCCAGAAACCTACACCTGCTGTGTATGCCGGAGACGATTACACCACAACTCCACCTCAGTCAAGTGTAATGCCTGCGAGGGGTGGAGTCACCTCAGAGTCTGCTCGGGACTACGGACACATAGACAGTGGACCACGTCGTACGTGGCCCCCTGTTGCTCAATCAGAGCAGCCTCCACGGCTAACCACAGTCCGCCCGAGCAGCCTCACACAGTCACCACAACACAACAACATAATAACACCACAGACCATACCACAGCCACGACAGACCACATAACACACACAACCGCACCACCACCCACACGCCGCCGCCAACAACTCCTGGTTCCCCCTACAATCTGCACGGTATGTCAGACCAGGATATTCCGTAATGTGACATCAGTCAAGTGCAACACCTGCCTTGGCTGGTGCCACTTTAGGGCATGCTCAGGTCTGCGTACCACGCGAGATTGGACTGGGAACTTCGAGGGCCCGTGTTGCGCTGCTCAGTCGCAGACCCCAATTGCGACGCCCCCCGCCACCACCACAGGGCGGCAATCATCACAGCAGCGCACACAGCCAACGGCGGCAAGAACACACACATCACTTACACCCCACATCACGACACGTCTCCCGAACCACATGAAGCTCCTTCAATTTAACTGCAACGGGCTACAGAGCAAGATTGAGGAGATAACCGTCTTCATGTGTCGGCATGGTATATTGATAGCTGCGGTCCAAGAGACGAAGTTGCACAGCAATTCAA